CCCCAGAAAAAAAAAAAAAAAAAAAACACCCTAAAAAAAAAAAACAAAATCCATGAATTCCCTGAAATTCAGGCAAAGATCAGGAAAAGAAAATTTTCTTTTTTTCTAGATAGGTAGTCCAATTTTTTTATTATATTCCCAAGGGACCTATAATTAATGAAGTATCTTTCTTAGGTTTATTCAAATACTAATTACTAAAGTTAAAAAAAATGACAGCTATACGCAGATTTTACATTTATAATTCTTGATTTTCTTCTAAAGTAAAAACAGTTTTAGAATAATTTTAAATGCTATTTTCAATGAGAAGATAGTGTTATTTTCCAAGAGATTTTGAGAGCTATAATTGGTATTCTTTTAAATATTAATGTATGCACTTTTCAGAGCACAATGGATATAAAAGTATCAATCAATAATTTTTTTCCTCAAATGTGAGATGTGAAAGGGTCTGGCAAATCATTCTACTTCTAAGCCTCTTTCCAACAGTTTCTGTGAATATAGAGAGCCCATGGGTAAGAAATCCTTTTACATGCCACTCTCAGCCAGCACGTTACCAGGGACGCCATTGCGAAAATAAGACGAACACTCACATCACTCTGGTTTTTGGCTGTCTTCAAAGAGTGCAGCATCTTGGGATCATCATTAATGCTGAGGGCACCAATCATTTTCCCTTTGTTCTTTTCATATTCTTTCTTGTACATCACCTGCAAAGACATCACACATGCCGAGCCCCACTCGCCAGGAAACGCAACCCCCCAGGCTGCCCTGCCTGAAGCCAAGGGCCATGCTCACATCGCTAATGTTCTTGCTGTTGGCCTTGGCTGCCAGCAGGGGAATGGCGTCCACTTTGATGTCAAACTTCTTAGCTTTGCTCTTCTCCCAGTCTTGCTTATAAACATTCTAGAAAGAAAAATTGCAGCAAAATAATTACAGAAACCTTGAACACAGATTTATGGAGTAAACAAACAAAAAAACCCCACAAAAAGTACACATCTACAGACTTATTTCACCTATAAATGTATTTCACCAAAGGCTAGTGGAACTATTGATTTATCTGTCATCCAATTTTTTCCTCCGTATCACCACTAAACAAGTACCATATACTCTTTTTAATGTTCTGGGAGTCTTCTAAGCACTGTTATCTGATATATAAAGAAAACATAAAATGGCAACCACTTAGACAAGGTAAAAATGTGACGTTTACATGGGAGAGACTTTGAAAACCTCTGGAGATTTTCGGAAAGTTACATGAAAGAATGAAGAGAAGTTATGGAAAATGAAATTGAGAGCTGAGCAGGTCTTAAAAGCAAGCGGGTCTTAAAAGCTCTACTTTCACACTGGTAAAATCTCAATAGTTCTTTACTTACACAACTCCTTTCTAAAGAAATACCCAGAGCATTTCCTCTTTTCTTGCACCTTGAACAGGCTGCACTGGCTTTGGTACTTACGTCACTCAGGTTATAGGCATTGACTCTGTGTTGGATGAACTGTGGAGCATCCACAGGCACGTTGCACTTGAACTTCTCACTTTCATGTTTTGCTTTGTAATTCAGCTGAAAAACAATAGAGGATATTGTTGTGGACAAGATGTATCCCTTAAGTTTCATGTGTTGAAAACTCAGCCCCTAATAGCAGGTGTCAACAGTATGTGAGAGGTGGGACCTATAGAAAGAGATTGGTCACAGGGCTCTGTCCTGATAAATAGGCTAAATAATGGATTAATGAGTGGTTTTGTTATAAAACTCAGCTCTCTATCTAGCTCAATCTCTGTCTAGCCATGTGATGTCCGCTACCATGTAATGTTGCAATGAAAATATAACCTCACCAGATGTTGGCAACAAGCGTTTGGACTTCCCAGCCTCCAGAACCATGAGCTAAATAAACCTCTATTTTTTATAAATTACTTGGACCCAGGCATTTTGTTAATGCAACAGAAAATGGACTAAGACAGATATCCAAACAGGTCAGGATAAGTATTTCTTTGAGTTTATGTGAGAAATTCTGCAATCAGAGCAGTAATAAAATCAATCATAAGTCTCAATATTAACATTCTTAAAAATTCTAATTAAAAATATTAAACACAGGACTTTAAAAGATGATGAAGGAAGTGTGAAGAGGAATTAGGTTAATGAATTTTGGAGCTAAAGGGAATTGTCCCAAAACTTGAGGAGAATTGTGCAATAAGTACCTCCGATACAGGGCGTGTGGTATAACCAATCCAGTAAGAAAAGTGTTGGTGACTGGACAGCATGTATAGCATGGTATTCATCTGCAATTGGCTTAGATCTCCTTGGTCAATGTAGCTAATGCCTAGCTGTTCTTCATTGGATCACAAAATATGCTAGGCGGGCTGGGGATTTAGCTCAGTGGTTCCGCCCCCTGCCTCACAAAATACACTAGGAAAAGTTGTATACGAACTTGTGTGACTTCTAAGTGACATTGATGCTATTCGCCTCTTATCTGATTATATATGAGCTAATTTATGGGACTAAAACAGATTTCATAGTAGGATGAACTGTGTCTTTCCTTTTCCTGTCTTGAGAGGGTGTACTATACTTCAGGACTTGAGCTACACTAGCACTTTGCTGCTTAGTTTGTGGCCTATCAATAAAAGCAATCGCAGTAGCACCTGGCAGCTTATTAGACAATCAGAATATAGGGTTCCCCAGACCTTCAGCATCACAATTCACATTGCAACAGGGTCACCAGGTAATCACGTGAATGTGAATGTGAACATCTGAGAAGCTCACTGCTCTTCTGTGACCCTGGCATGGTTGGAACATTTCTGCCTTTGACTTTCCTTGACCACTCATGTAAAATGCCCATCCTGGCACTCTCCAGTGCTATCCCATTTCAATTCTGCAGCATCTTTCTCTGTTTCCTTACTGCTGTCCAAATTATTTGTTGTTAGTGTGCTCTCTTTCTTTTTGTAAAGTCTTTTTTTAGCAAACTCAACAGTAGGAATGTTTGCCTTGCTACCTGCCTGAATGAACGCCTTTGTTGGTGCTGTTGAAATTGATGTAAAGTTTTAGTGTGCATGTGACAGATCCTATTAAGGTCTACCTATTAAAAAAATCAGTGAGTTATTGTTGCTGTTATCTAAAACAGGTTTCTTCAGGCTACAATTCAATCTAGTGGCTTCATTTGCATTTTATTAGACAAATTCTGAAAAATGACCTTACAGGGATAGAAGATGAGTCCATGAAGATTAAGCATGTAAATGCTGACATTTTAAATAAGCCACACACTCCAGGCCACCTACATTTACATAAATCAAGGCACTTACATCACTGAGCTGCTTGGTATTGAGCTGTGCTTGCAAAAGTACAGGAGAATCAGTGACCGCTGTGAATTTAGTCTTATCCGGGTGAACTTTGTAGGTATGCTAGAAAAGAAGATACCCTTAAGTGAAATTTTAGTGTATCTTTATATGTACAATAATGTATAAAAAGGTTCCAGCCAAAATAGAGCATGTTTTGCTCCAGAAAATTTGATTGATACGCTTTTAGCTCTTTCCTTTCTCCTTCCTTTTTTTCCTGAACTCATGTCTGGTTTTTCTACTGCAACTCAGCCACTAGGTTCATCTTCCCAGTGCTGGAGCCCTACTAAGGCTCCCCACTGTACTTGATATTCAACTGAAACTGTGCCTTTGTTTGTACATCCTGCAGAATCCACCCTCCTTTATCTCCACCATTTTACCTCTTATTACTCTCCCCCCAGTATATCTCAGCTACCTCATTCTTTCAATTCCTCCTTCTCTCCTTAGGCTGTCTGTCCTGTATACTCCCTATGCTCAGCATGGCTGGACATTCCTGTCTGACTTTTATTGTTCTCCCAATTTAAAGTACCCAAGCAGTCTCTCTCACATCATCCTATTTTAATTTTGTATCACGGCTCTATTTTAATTTTATTATCATTGTGCTTTCTTTCTTATTTCTGTACTTTCTTCCTTTGTTTATTTTGTCACTTCCATGCCAATGGAAGCTCCAGGAGGGCAGCTTAGCTGGTTCCCTATTCTTTCCCAGCACCAAGAACAGAGCCTGGCACATGCTATCACCTCCTATAAATGTGCTGAATGATGAAAACCCACCTCTCACAAATCTACATGTCCCCCTTTTGCCCTGATTTCATGTATATATAAACTAATGAAAGCAGAGATTTGTAAGACTCAAAATTATTTCATAATTAAGAGATTTCTTCATAACAAATTTTGTGTTCCTCAATTCTACCCAAACAGCAAAACTTAAAGTTTAACATTTGCTAACCATTAGATCCTAATTTAGCATTGTAAACTCCTGCTAGATTTACCAGTTGATGTCACAAGAATACCAAACCCAATTTCAAGAATTCAGAGCAGCTGGCTTACGTCTTTACACTGGTCTAGCTTCTTGATTGCTTCATATTCTTGTGTTATTGTCTGAGGGAAATAGCATTTCCCTCTATCTTCTTCATATTCTGCTTTGTAGCTTTTCTATAATGAGAAAGAACAAAAACAGATCAAGATTGCTATTATTCTGAAAGTGTGTTTTTGAGGCATGAGTAACTGTCTTCAAACTTACGTCACTATTTTGAGCAGAAACTTTCATGCAGTGTGTTTGATGTGGGTCCTCAAAGCTGCCTACATGATGTCCCAAAATGTTCTTTACATATGAATCTTTATATTTAGCCTGAGAAAGAAAACATACGTAATTCAAGTTATCTGTAAAGCAACAGGAAAGCCTCCCCTCCCTCAAGTGACTGTGGACTTCCGAACCTCACTGAAGTTCTTCAGCAGGGTGTCAAGGTGATATTTGGGGGTCTCACAGTAATTCATGCTCTTTGCCTTTGTCTTCTCATAGTTTTCCTTGTATAATCTCTGTCAAAGGGAAACAAAATATTTTTTAAAAATGTCTCGTGAAATAAAAGCCATTCATGTCATTGCTGTACTTTAACCAATGGAGCAATATTTGTATTTTCTCTGCCTCTGTTTTCTACCATGCCAGAGCAGAAGAAATAAGCTTCAGGCTCATGTGCTGTACTGACCATAAGTATATTTGTTTTACTTGGCCTAATTTTTCTCAGACTAAATAAATTAAAGCACACCAACACTGCTAGTCAAGCAAATTTCTGTCTTAAAATGGTCTGTTCCATTTGAACATGTTTGGAGGAAAGTTAATTTTTTATAAAGCTGATGCAGGGGCTAGGGATTTTGCTTAGTGGTTCCACCACCTGCCTTGCAAGCACAAGGACGTGAGTTCAATCCCCAGTACAAAAACAAAAACAAAAACAAAAACACACACACAAAAAACCACAAAACAAAGTCGGGGCAAAATAAGGTTTAAATTACAAGGTAAACCTTAGATTAACTACCTAGACACAGTTCTAGAAAAGTGATCGATTGAACACTTAAGATTTTATCACCCCTCTGAAGTTGGCTTTTAATAATTAAGATCTAATATTTTTCTTTTTAGCAGCAATACAAGAAAATATAGTTTTTATTTTTAATATATATCATATATTTCTTCACATTTTCTTTTAATATTCTCATATAGAAATCAAAAATATACTCAGTGAAGACAAGCATACTTGTAAATCATGGAAGAGAGGGAGAATTTCTTGCTAAGAATTAGAAAAGCAATGTTAGTAAGAAGTTTTATTTTTAGTGTTTTATGGTCTTCAAAATGACAGCAATATTTTATTAAATACTTAAAGTAAAATACTTTGATTTTGAGCCTATGCTTTGTCTAGTTTTTCCTACCATTTTTGCCTTTAACTTGATTTTCTCAGATTCTTGCTTTTAATGTTTTCTTCATATATCTTTGCAAATTACCTTAATCAATTCAGGGCATTACATGAACACATATGTGCACATGTACCACACGTATTCATACCTATTAACATACAGAGCCACTTTTAGGAAAAATAATAAGGAAGATAATATTGTTAGTATATTTCTCCTCCTAATGAAAAAAACAACATTAAGGAGATTGCGGAAACTTTTGCAAAATTCACTGTCATCTCAAAATACAGACATATCAGTAAGAATGAGAAACTTCATCTTCTCTAATCATATGGTCTTTCACTTTTGATTTATCATCTGGGAACTCAGCTGGGCTGATAGACAGTCCAAGGTTATGTCAGACAACATCTGGAAGTAAGAGTGATTTACATAACACTCACATCACTCTGGTTTTTGGCTGTCTTCAAAGAGTGCAGCATCTTGGGATCATCATTAATGCTGAGGGCACCAATCATTTTCCCTTTGTTCTTTTCATAGTCTTTCTTGTACATCACCTGCAAAGACATCACACATGCCGAGCCCCACTCGCCAGGAAACGCAACCCCCCAGGCTGCCCTGCCTGAAGCCAAGGGCCATGCTCACATCGCTAATGTTCTTGCTGTTGGCCTTGGCTGCCAGCAGGGGAATGGCGTCCACTTTGATGTCAAACTTCTTAGCTTTGCTCTTCTCCCAGTCTTGCTTATAAACATTCTAGAAAGAAAAATTACAGCAAGAGAATCAGCAAAAGCGATATTCATTTATCACACTTGAAGACTAAATAGTAATCTTGCCTTATAGACTTTATGAACAACTCTGTATGGACAAATGGACTCTTTATTATATTAGAAATTATGCATATTTTAGGTTATTCTCCTTAAGCAAGAGCTTCTAATTCTCCAAAGCTTCTATACTTTCCATTGCAATCTTTCATCAATTAACTTAATTCTAGTTTTCATTCTAATATTTGATTCCTAGCACCAAATATGTTTTATATAGTAGTACAAATATTCTATAGTTAATTTACTTATAATGACATAAAGTCATCATTTTTATTTGATCTCTAAATCTTCTGCAAAGGTTATTTCTTGAAACATCATAATCCACAGCGATGTCAGATTGTCTTAGTATTCATTTACAGAATTGTTGAAGAAATTAAGATATCCAAGGGTGATGTTTCTAGAAATTTTTTTCTATAAAATTGAGTTTGGAAAATCAAAGTTGGTCAGGGACACCTGACCTTCTGCTCTTTAACTATTCTCATTACTGCAAGCCCTCTTACATGTGGAAGTAAGCATAATTTGTGTGAAATAAGGATATTATAGGCCTGGGGAATAAATGGAGTGAAATTATATCTAAAAATAACTAGGTCCAAAAAATGAATTATGGCATAGGTTATATAAAAGTACGGCTAAAAGATCTAACATTAAGAATTCCAATTAAGCAGGGACAAGGGGAAAAATGAGAACCAAGACCTGTCACGTAAAGGTACAAGATCCCAATAATGAATGTAACTGTACTGTATACCTAAAATGTACCAATAAACTCAATAAAAAGAAAAAAAAAAAGAATTCCAGTTAAGAGGGCTGGTACAGTGGCACGTGGTCCCAGGATTCTGGAGGCTGCAGTGGGTACGTTACTTGAGCCCAGAAGTTCATGATCAGTTTGAGCAACATAGAGACCCCATTGAAAAAAATATAACTGCTATTAACCATACATGAGTGATGGTATTTTGAGGGTTAGTGAAAACATATTAAGATTGTTTAAAGTAAAGAAACTACTTACAAGATTGTTACAAATGTTTTATAAGGTGAACCCCATGTTACACTGGCAGAGACATAGGAATGTGACACACATGTTAACAGTTCTTCTCATCTGTACATTTAAGTGCACACTGAATTGCAATGAGTCATTATATGACATGGTACAGAGTGTAGGAAACTTACATCACTCAGGTTATAAGCATTAACTTTGTGCTGGATGAAGGCAGGAGTATCAGGAGGTACATGGCACTTGAACTTTTCATTTTCATGTTTGGCTTTGTAATTTAGCTAGAAGAGAGAGGGAAATGTAGGAAGAGGGCACAGAGAAAGAAAACCAATTATTTCAAAAGAAGAAATTTTCCAAAATACAAAAACTTCTCTTGTGTGGTATATATTTGTGAAGTAACTGACAAAGTTGCTAAGGTCAAAAAAAAAGAAATTCAAGCCAGGCACAGTGGTGCACAACTGTAATCCCAGCACTGGGGAGGCTAAGGCAGGAAGACTGCTGCAAGTTTGAGGCCAGCCTAGGCACACAGTGTGTTCAATATCAGCCTAAACTACATAGCCAAACCCTGTCACGGAAAACCAAAGAAATAAAACAAACAAACAGCAACAAAAACAAACAAAAGAGAGATTAATAGAGATTAGGTAGGACACCCTGCACTACTGAACTTATGTACTGGACCCTGTAAAACTGTTACACATGTGTCACGATGGTAGGCCCCTAACAGAATGAGGTGGCTCTCTCATCTCCATTACAGCTGGCCCTGACAGGCTGCAACGCACAGCCTTCCTTTCTTTTCACTGTCAATGGTAATCTACTAGTGAATCATTTCCATAGCTATCTCACACACATCAAGGTTGTTGATGCTCTAATTGAAGCTTTCATTTCTGGCCATAAATCTATAAATTTGTTTTTATTTTTATCTATTTCACTCAATATAATTTTTGAAATTCACACTTAAAATTTATATGAAAGAACTTGTTCCATTGTCTCTATTCTCCAAAAACTTTTTGGGGAAAGAGAAATCTCATATGTTGACTATCTCACCTGGGCCATGGTGTATGGTATGCACACATCTCCTGCACTTCATTTTCAAAACAGTCACAAATTATGAAAAGTAAATACTAGGCATAGAGAGGTTAAATCGTCTGGCTATTTGGTCACAAATGACAGAGCTGGAAGTTTTGTCTGATTCTAGAACCCATATTCTTTTTAATGCTCTAAGCTATTTTAGTTTCCATCAGAGAAAATTTTTCCCAAAAGTGCTACCTGCCTAATAACATTCAAAGAAACCAAATGGAAAAATATTTTAGGTGATTACAAAATAGACAAGCTAAACTTGCTAAACTTTACATATCTTTTTATAAATGTAATAAAAAATTGGATGTTTTGGGCTGGGGAAGTAGCTCAGTGATCGAACACTTTTCTAACAAGCAGGAGGTCCTGGATTCCATCCCAGCCCCACAAAAAAGAAACAAAATTTGATTCCCTGAATATTTTGAGAAACTTACATCGCTCAGTTGTTTGGAATTGACTTGGGCTTGTACCAGAATGGGAGAGTCGGTCACTTGAGTGAATTTTGTCTTATCTGGATGGACTTTGTAGGTATGCTGAGGAAGAGTAAGGAGTTTGGTTTATGGTTCCTGTCAAATCCAAAGTGGCCTTTGAACCAAGCAAGCACACCAACAACCCCCTCAAAGAAATGAAACTGGTAGTTAATAAAACACCTATGGATTTTTAAATAAAAAATAAAAAACCTATGAGATATGCTCTCATATCTACATGAGAAATTTTCCATGTCTTCAAATTTCCAGTAACTCTTTAAGAAAATAAGCTAGAACCAGCTCTTGAAATATAGAGGTGCCAAGTACATTTACCACAAAATAAATTTTGTTTCTTATAATTTTCTTGCTTATACTTATTTGAAAATATCAGAATTTTAAATAGATTTTGGCCACTAGACATTACAGAGAGCAGCAACATTTGAAGTTATTATTACAGACTTACATCTTTACACTGATCCAGTTTCTTGATTGCTTCATATTCCCGAGTTATGGTCTGAGGGAAGAAGCCTTTGCCTCTGTCCTCTTCATATTCTGCTTTGTAGTTTTTCTATGAGGAGAAACATATCCAATGTATGGTTGCAACCATTACGTTCACGCCCCCCAAATCTGTTATTTTGGAAGTCAAACAATTGTCTCAGAACTTACATCACTGTTTTGAGCTGAGACTCTCATGCAGTGTGAATGATACGGATCTTCAAAACTGCCTACATAGTGTCCCAAAATATTCTTTACGTAGGAATCTTTATATTTGGTCTGAAAGACAAAAAAATCATTTATTGTTTGATTAAATTATGTATTAAATGACAGGTCTTTCTTTTTGACAGAAAGAATGATGGCAGGACTGCTTACATCACTACTGAAGTTCTGCAAAACTGCATCCAGCTTAAATTTGGGGGTCTCACAGTAATTTATGCTCTTTGCCTTTGTCTTTTCATAGTTTTCCTTGTATATTTTCTGTCAAAGAAGAAAAATCAGTTAAAGTAGATTCCTGTCACTCCCACACTGATTATAACAGTTGTATTTTTCCAACACTAAACAAAAGAAGAAGAAAAGATATTACCTGTCAACTGTCTTAAAAACTGACATTCAAACATAGGGTGTCATGAATCGTGAGCCTTTTCTATTAACAAGTATTATAAAGTGTAAGTATTTAACATTTTCAAAAAGTTTAAAAGCCAATATGCCACTTTTGACCAAGCCCTTCACTGGAAAAATCTCATGTATTTCTCAGCTTTATTGTCCCTCTAAACACACTTCCCTCACAAAGACCACTGCGAACAAAGCAGTCTGGAGAAACAGCAGCTTGTGTGATTAAAATCAAACCATGAAACAATGTAAATTGAGAAATGCCCAATCACTCTTCTACCTTGTACCAAGGCAGGGAGATTTCCGTTACACAATTTTCTTTAAAAATAAGGCCTATGTGAGAATTCAAACCATGAGTCATTGTTAACTCTTTTTCTCTGATAAGATTTATCTTTAGCTTGAAAAACAAGAATCAATTATTAGCTTTATGTGTACAGCTGAGAAAGCAGATCACTGCCACTTTTTTGTGTTGCTTTCAAAATTTAAAGGATTCCACTGATTTTCAGTGTTTATAATCCTGTTTTTACCAACAAAGTAGATTAAAACCTGGGACTGTATACGTTTGATAAAGATGCCCTTCATTTAGAAAGCAGAAATGCTTTGCACTGATTTCCTAGCAGAGCTATTTAGACAGATCCACTTAAATCTGCTGACAGGCTATATCACCTACCCACAGCCAAATCACATGTCCACACTTCCTATAGTGGTGACTTAATTGCAGGGTAAAGAAAAGATCACCAACCCACTCAGAAAACTACAAGGTCTTCAACTATTAAGAGAGTTTAGTACAATTGAACCATAAGGAAAAATCCTCAAGTAATCACATATCTAGTCTGTGTGTGCACGTCTATACATGTGTGTTTATACAGTCTCATTTGTCTTGAGCCATTAGTCTTTTAATGCCACACTAAGGCTTATTTTCCTAATCTATTTTACATCAAATTGCTTAGTCAGGAACTTGGCCATTCCACAAGTAGAAAGTTACCTGTAAAGATGTAGGGAGCTATCTTTGAAGTTCTATGGTCTGCAAATGATGTTGTCTGGGGATAAGATCTATTTGCTTTGGTCAGAATCGCAGCACATGTACAATGTGCTCTTTGACCACCACTCAGAGGCCCAGATACCCAGAGCTTACAAACAGACAAGGTTTTTCCTCCCCATGGAACTAAATCCGCAAGCCTATCATAGTCAGAGGCCCTCTGCCTTCCTATGCATAGGTAGCTCCAATGAAACTACTGCTCCATAATCATAAAATATTTACAAAGTTATATATGTATGTAGTCATTATAGAAGGAGAAAAACTTCATCTCTCTTCCAGCTAAGGTTTAGAAAACACTTTTTGAGAAGAATATACTCACATCACTTAAGGCATTTCCTGCAGCCTTCAGCTGCCTGAGCAGTGGGTTCTCTGAAGCAGGAAGTACATTATAGTCTGCTTTTCCTTTATTTTTTTCATAGTCTTCCTTGTATTTTACCTGTAGGATGAAAGAAAGTGGTAGAGTACCAGGTTATTTTTGTCCTCATTTCCATTATGACTATAATGACATAGTTCCACAAATCAATTTTCTCTTTAGGAAAATGGCAGCTTGACATTTTATGAGAAAAATACTCATAGTAACAGCAGCAGAAATATTGTATAAATTTTCATGATATCTTTTCTTCTTATTCATTTATTCATTGAAAAGTCTCTACAGGGAATTGATTACATGCCTGGCTATGGGACAGGCACAATTAAGAATAACGCATGATCGCTGCCCTCGGAGAAAGATATATAAATAGTGGAGAAGAAAAGATACACAAATAATGACAGCACATCATGTCCCAGAGGCTTGGTGCTATAGAACTTTCATCCAGCTCTTAAAATCCAGCTGCCTATCTGCCAACACATATTTAAAGGAAAGAAACTAGAAGCATCATCAACCTACCCTTTGAGGCCTCACCTGCACTGACCACTTGACATTTCTTTTTGAATGTCTAGAAGGAATCTCAAACATGTGTAAAGAGGAGTTCTTATTTCACCTCCAAGATACGTAACTCTCCTTCCATAGTCCTCCCTATCTTGATACAGGGGAACACCATCTATCCAGCTGAACACCCAAACCTCTGTCTTATTTCCACGTCCAATCCATTAGGAAATCAGGTCAGACCAACTTCCAAAATACTTTCATCACTCACTCCACTACCTCCAGAGCTAAATCACCACTGTCTTGTACCTGGATATTACAACAGCCTTGTCAGTGATGTAATCTTCCTGCCTTCTCTCCCCTGACAAGGCCAAATCTCGGGCAAAGTCAAGGAACAGAAATAAGTGTTCTTGGTTTCAAAGTTTATGTTCGTCATAGGAACCATCTTACTTTAGAATGCCAAGGAATCAGACTGCTTACCAAAGCCATTTCATAGAGCATATGAAAATATGGATTTACATTTTTTGTGAGCAGAATTTTTACCAATCAGTAGGAAAAGAAAAACAACAGCAGCACTGAGTGTGAGAGCACGTATTTTTTTAGAAGGCATCTTTCATCTTTCCTAGTAGAAGAAACCCCGCTAACTTAGATTACAGTCTTTCTACTTCTCCATACCAATGGGATTTTTATTTCATGAAATATTGTAGATAATAATTAAGGGTTGTTATACTCAATTAGGACTCCCCCCCGAAATCTAAGTAGCACTATTATAATTCCAAAGTACTTTTGTTGTTCTTGTTGTTTTCATTTTACTTTTCTTAAAATGCCTAGGATTCAATGGTCTCAACTGAAACCAACTCCCCTTCTTTTTTTATTATATACAAGAACCAGGATTTTCAGCAATTCACTACTAAAACCATCAAAATCAATTGGACAGTTCCTAGTACCTTGCTAGCTGCCACCCCAGCTTGTTTATTCATTTTATATTCCGGTGTTTCGGTCTGCATGAAGTAGATCTGGTCTTTTAGGTTCTCAAAATCTTCCTGATATTTCCTCTGTAAGATATTAAATATACTGGAGTACTTCTGTGGAAACAAACTGCAAGGGTTTATGCAGAGGACAATGGACATTTGGAGAAGATATCAAAGCCACATTCACTGGGTTTAGGCAGATCAAATTAAAATGAAAGATTGTAATACCATTGCAAACATGACTAGCGATTTAACAGAGATTTGGAAACATTAAATAGTCAGAAGGAACAATTAGAAAGCCTTCCTTGACCACTAGAAAAGAGATCTTGAAATCCAGGAGCAGAAAAGTAAGAGAAAAAGAATAATTAGGTTTCTGATTTCCAGTGAAAAGATGCTGGCTATATCAATCATTTTTCAAATGTACAGTTTGGTTCTCAAGACAAATAATAAATTAAAAAGACCCACTTTAACTCCCATTAATTGCACTTTGCAATCATTAAGAGGTTGTCACCATATTGTTCCTGTGACCATTAAGATCAAAAAAATAAAAATTGGTCAAAACAGTATTTTTCAAAAAGAAAGATGGCCTATGGAATTTCTTTCTTTACCAGGAATAGTGCATCAAGCTTCTCATCACCTCAGATGCTCTGGGTGGCTACAGTCATCCAGGAAAGAGGACCCCTCCCCGGGCATCTGGCCATTGCTTCCTACTCACTGTGCTGATGTTGTCAGCATTCATTCTGGCAGTTGCAATTTCAAAACAAGGTGTCTCACTCCATTTGCCTTTGACTTTATTTTCGTAGTCTTCTTTGTATTTTTGCTAGAAAAAAAAAAAAAAGAAAAGAAAAGAAAAACTAAGATAAGTAAAATACAGGACCTGACAGACAATTAAGATAGTAAATTGAGTAATGATGATTAACTTTTAAAATTTTTTTGTTTTTTGTTTTTTTGAGATAGGGTCTCGCTGGCCTTAAACTCAGGGCAATCTTCCTGCCTCAGTCTTCTGAGTGCTGGGATTATAAGCATGTTCCACCACACCTAGCAACTTTTTAAATATATTAACTGGGCTATCTTTAGGTCCTTAATAAATATCTTCAAGAAAGCTTTCAGTGCAGTATTAACTTTCACAACCAAAAAGTTGAGTAAAGGGGGCTACAAAATAAAGACAATACCAACTCCCCCTCCCTTTAATGAGTTTGGGAACTTAGTAAATTCAGAATTGCAAATATTCCTAAATGTTGGAGGAAAGACAGTCCGAACTTATTTCCTATAACTTAGTATTACAATAAAACTTATCAACCCAAGATCTCCATGCCAAGCAAACTTAGCCATTAAGTACTATGCTTTAACAAAACTCTTAAATTACCCAAAAGCAACAATCACAGAAAAATTCAGCATGCAGACTAATGAGTAAAACTTCTTCATTTACACTTAAAGAAGTTTAATAAGTAATGCATTACTTAATTGATGTGCTGCTCCATCTTAACCCCACCTGAATCTTAGGTCAGGAGCTCCTTGAAAAGGTATGTTATATCTTTGTCATTTTCATACCCTTTGATTCTTACAAAAATTGCAGCACACAGAAGTTATCTCACAGATGTTTGTTCAGCTACCCTAAACTGAACCAAGACTATAATATAAAACACCTTGAAGTAAGGTTCTTGAAACAGAGTTAACTCAGACAACCCCAACCCCGGGTCCATGAGCTGGGTCTAGACTTGGTTAGAACTGTTCCTCTCTCTAGCTCATAGAACTGTGTTAAAGACATAATCACATGGGTCTCAAGTTGTTTGCGTGGCTACACCTCCACTACACCTTCAAGAAAAACAAAAGCAATTTTCTACATACTTTAACAGAACAGCTACTAAGGGTAAGGGATATGCAGAGCCAATGAACTTGGGTTAAAGGAAGCACAGACTTTTCCCAGATGCCCTATTCCCTTTCTTCTCAAAATATGGTAATTAACAGCAAGTGGGGTTATGTTTGTTGTTGTTCCCTGTTTTTGTTTGAGAGAGTTTTGCTAAGTTCAGGTTGTCCTTGAACTCCCTGTGTATCCTGGGTGGGCTTTGAACTCTCAATCCTATCTCAGTTTCTGAACACTGAGATTATAGGCACATGCCAACTCACCCAGCTTGCATGCGTTCCATAGCTGTTAATTTAAGAGCCCTGGACCTGGGTCCAGAAGTCCTACACCCAAGACGTAACTCTACCATTTTTTTTTTTTTTTTTTTTTTTTTTTTTTTTTTT